CTGTATATTACCCAGCAAGTACCCTGTATATTACCCAGCAAGTACCCAGTATATTACCCAGTAGGTATCCAGTATATTACCCAGCAAGTACCCTGTATATTACCCAGCAAGTACCCTGTATATTACCCAGTAGGTACCCAGTATATTACCCAATAGGTAACCTGTAAGTATCAGTCTGATGTTTTACCACAGTAACAGTACGTATAACTCAGCAGAGTTGTCACCTAAAACAAGCGTTTGTGTTTTTTAACGTCCTCCTCAGCTGGTTTGACGTTCAGTTCGTTGTTACTCGTTAAAACTCGACTCGTGTTAAAATCCACAGCCTGATGGTGTCTTATCACATCTGTGAGAATAAAATTAAAACTAGAAGCACATGCACGGCTCAAACTTCCTCTGAGGAAACAACGTTTCCTGACAGGAAGCAGATCAAACAGCTGAAGTCTGAAGAGTTCGATTTACAGCTCAGGGTTGGAGTTTGTGTTAAAATGAGCTCATTTAAGCTGCTAACACAAAGAGCCGACAGCTGCTTCCTGAGACTAAAGAACCAGAACAGACGGTTAGTTACTTTTTTATGCACAGCTTTAATGTATCAGACAGTTTCAGCTCATAGTTTGTGTTCTTATACATGTAATACACAACTAAATAAGCTAAAATCATCATCAAGAAGAGGATTAAGTTGTCAGTTATTGTTTGTGTACATTTTTTCCCCCTCAAATTTAAAATAAAAACTGGCATTAACAAAGGGATTTTTAATGTTTCAGCTTTTTTAAGGGAATAAAAACAACTGAAAATTTAAATAAAACTTTGTAGCTTTAGCTAATGAGATGGATTTTAGCTACAGAGTGACAAAGTATGTGTTGAGGATGACTCTCAGCTACTACCACACCAAAATAATTTTAAGCTAAAAGTACCAAAAATATAGGTCGAAGTAGCAAAAAGCTAGCTAGAAGCTAAAAGTTGTAAAAAGCTAGCAAGAACGAACAACGGACTAGCTAGAAATACTAAAAAACTAGCCAGAAGCTGAAACCACCAAATAGCTAGCTAAAACTAGCAAAAGGATAACTAGAAGCTGAGAGTGGTATCAGGTTAGCTACAAGGTAAAAGTATTAAAAAGTTATCAAAAAGGTAAACACATAAAAAGGCTAGCAAATATGTAGCTAAAAACTATACATAGCAAGATGCTAAGTAAAAACAGTGAATTTTAGCTAAAAGATAAATGTAGCAAAAAAATTGCTAAATGTAGCAATTTGCTAAAAGCAGAAGACAGCAGTAAAACACTAGCTAAAAGGCGCCAAATACAAGAGAAACACTAATGGTAACAAATGGTTTGGAACAAGCTAAAAGGTAAAAAGACAAAAACAGAGCCAGTAGCTGAATCTACAGAGAAAACCTTCAGCTGACGGACACGGAGAAGCCGAAATCAGACTTTTTTTAATCTTCTGTTTGAAAAACAACTTTTGACCAAATTAGTTAAGGATTTTGGTTAAACTCAGCTCTCACCTCATGGCATCATACATGATGAAGGCTGTGTGTGTGTGTGTGTTTGGACCTTTAACAGTGCCGCCGCCTGCTGAGGGTAGAACATGGAGGCGCTCAGAGCCATGAGTCCAGCAGGAAGCAGGAATCGTTTCATCCTGGAGCCTGAAGACAGAGAAAACAGCTGAAGTCCTGATCGGGACTGAAGAGCTCAGAGTTTCTCCTCTGAGGACAAACAGCCGCTGATCTCAGACCTGAGGCTGAAGCTTCTGTTACCTTTGGCCAAATAAAGTCCCAGGAAGCCGGAGAACCCCACCACAGCCACGCTGGGGTAAAGGTCCGGAGGCGGGTCACTGAGAAACTGAACCGTCTCTGAAGGACACAACAAGGAGGAGAGGAAATATGTGGACCTAAATTAAAGACATGTGAAGATGTGCAGCTCTGACTCATGACTCAGCGGTTCAAACTGGCCCCTCGTTTAAGAAACAGGAAGTGATTTTCTCACCGCTGACAGTCGTCACTGACGTGTTTATGGTCGGCTCCATCCTCCCGTACGTCTGCTGCAGTTTGAGAACAAACAGAGACGGTAAAGTTAAAAACAATCAGCTCAGTCTATTAAAGCTCATTTGTCTCAGACTCCGTCAGTTACAGATAAAAACGCAGCAGAAAAGTGTGAAAATCATGAAGACTTTTTAATAAAAATCTGGTTTGAAACATTTAATTAAACTTGACTTTTAATTAACAAAATAAGAGACCAAAAGATGAAAACAATCTGAATAAAAGCAACATACTTTGTTCAGGTTCGATAAAAACTCACTTCAACTTTCTCCAACGCAGTCTGGACAGCTCGCTGCAACAAAAAACAATTAAATTTAACTTTTTACACCTTTAATGTAGCTGTGAGGCATTCAGACTTGGACTCACCTGACCCAGGTCCACGTACGGCTCAGCACGCCTCCTCAGCGAGGCGACGCTCTGCTCCAGATGACTCGGCTCCGGCGCCTCCGATGGAGGCTTTGGTTCGGGTCGGGTGTACAGAGACGGCAGCTGGAACACAGGAGGGAAACAAACCAGCTAAAATTAGAAAAACAAAACTTAAAAGCAAAAAAATTGATGCCCATTCATTTCAATATGACCAAAAATATTAAAGTTTTTTTTATATATATATATAGATGTTGCATCAAAGACGTTACCACATAAGAGCTGAAAAAACAGACCCCATCAGACCTTCATAGGCAAATTTGTGGTACTTTGAGTCCATCTGAATCTATTAGCAGCCGTTTAAGCTTTAAATATTTATTTTATCTTTTAGTGGACATTCTCCAAGTTTTAGCAATTGTTTCACGTTTTATTTTTCTGCCTCTGTGATCACTTGTAAACAAATTTAATGTATTAATTGTGTTTCATCATGATTAAACATTGATCTCAGTGGTAATTTTATAATTTTACTAAATTTTAACTATTTGGATATTTTTGCATCCCTGTAGTTTTGTGCCTTTTTCTTTTTTTCTCTCCATATTTTTTCTTAATTTGAACCGTTTTAATGTTAGCTTTTATAGTTTAACAGTATTTTTATGTTTGTTTGTCTCACCTGATATCACATGATCTGTTTACTGTTGCCATCAAGGAAAAGGTACAGATCAATCAAGACAAGAACAAACAGATTTAACAATGGTTTTTGCCCATCAGCCATTACTAAACTTGGTAAGAGCTGTAATAAGAACTGAACAAGTGCAATAAGGGACAACTTGTGTAATATCAATCTGCTTGTGTTGCACATTTGGGTGTTTAAAACCTGTAAATATTATTACAGTATTATTTATATATATATTTATATTATACTGTTTTTACTTTTGGTCTGGGAAGCAAACCCAAATTTTATTGTATTTAGGTGCAATGACAATAAAAGTATTATATTCTATTCTGTATGCTTATGTTTTACTTATATTGTTCCTTTTTTAATAATATTAAACCTAACTAATATTTTAACCTTCTTCTAGACTTTTGGCTGTTTTTGTAAAGTTTTTATTTATTTATTGCCTTTTTCAGATTATTTCTAGTAATTTTTTGACTGTTTGCAACTGTGTGGATCACACTTTAATCACTTACAGTCAATTTATGTTCCATCATGAGCTGGTCTTGTGTTTTTATTTATTTTTGACATGATTACTACATTTTGCTGCAGAGGTTTAAGCTGAATATTTATCAAATCAGATATTGATGTACATTTTAATGACTTAAATAAACAAATCGATTAAATAAAAACTTTATTTTATTTCTTTATTCCATCTTTAAAACCCTGCTTTTGATGAACCCACCTCATCGATGCTCAGAATCGGCTCTGGGCTCTTCTTTTTACTCCCGCCGGAAGTCAGCGCCGAGCCGCTCATCAGGGCCGGAGCCGCGGACCACAGCGACACCTGGTGGACAAACGCAATATGAGTGCTCTGCCTTGGTCGTACTGTAAATCACTCATACAAACATGACACCACAATAAGATCAGAAAGAAGTAAGTTCAATAAGAAGCCTTAAAAGGCAAAACAATCTATATTATTATCGTTAATAAACAGACGAGGTAGCGAGGGCTGCTAGCTAGCTGCGTGCGTGCCATACAGATGTTGGCTAAATTGGCAACACGGTTAAAGCTACATCATAAACTAAATTATTTGTACTAAGTAATTACTATGAACGAAAAGTAGAGGTTTACGAATAAAAAGAAAAACTACATATTACGGGTAGTTACCAATTTTAAGTATGACATCGTGAATAGAGGAGGCTTTCGCTTTTCTACGGCAACTCGGAGAAGTGCATCCACGTCACACTTTCAAAACAAAAGCATGACTATAATATTTAGATCTAAAAAAAAAAAAAAAAGGTTAATTTAAACCCATTCACAACTGTTTTTATATAATGTACGTATATAACAAAATATTTTTTACACTTTTCAAATCTATAAAATACTAATACTTGCTGAAAAGCTTTAGATTATCATAGAAAATAAAGGCTGTAAAAATTTAAACATCTTTTACCTCATTTTATGCGATGTGTGGAGCTTTTCTATCGTTTCATTACACTCATGTTGAGTTTAGAATAATTATTTTGCAACAAACTATTCCATCAAAAACTATAAATGTATGCACAGTAATTTTAGGTTTAAAAAAGATACTAACTTGCACTTTACTTTTTAAAAAGAAGTACATACAAAATGTTTTGTTTTTGTAGAATAGCAGCTCCAGTAAAGTGTTCACAAAAACAAAAAATTCCTTGCAAGTCAAGAACGTATCGTTGTGTAAAAACACTTACTGCTGTAATTAATGTGTCAATAAATTACCGGTAGTTTAAGAACACACTATTAGTCAAAGAGAATACACACAGACAAGTGAAAGTTGACCAATATGAACATTTATTTCTGGAAATAAGTTACAAATTGTTTCCAAAGAGTTTCTACTTAGATTGTAAGATATGTTGGTTTGATCTTTTGTTCATTTTCTGATACAGTCGTTAAAACAAGGTTGTTTTTTTAGATCCTCTATTCTGTTTTCCTACTGGCAGACAGGTGGACTAAAGATGCAGCGCTATGACTGAACGTACCTGGAATATGGACAGTAGTACATCATTGGTTACGAGTTTCTAGCTGGAACAGTAACGGAGGAGGACGGCGTGTGATGCTTCAGTGAAGACATGATGAGGGCATGAAACTATGATGGTTTCCTCAGTAAGTGTGTGGGGAAAAGTGACTCAAATTATTATTTGAAATGTTTAAAACCCATTATTTATAGTTTGCATCCAGTTCAGTCAAACTACAGGAATTGAATAATCAGTTGTAACGTTATGAAACCGTGCTGTCCAACAACAGAACCTGCAGGACGAACTGTCCACCTGACGAGGCGCATGCAGAGCTGCTGGGACGAAGCACGAAAAGAAAGAGAAGCACGATTAAAAAACAACTCTGATAATAAATAACCCTACAGTTACTGCATAGCTCAGTGAAAAGCACTACATCATAAAATAAATAACTTAAATACGCAGCTGACGAGCAGAACCGCACCAGGGTGTGCTCTAGCCCTTTTCACAGTCGGCTGAAAAAAATAAAACATGAATATAAAATAAACGCGGAGCTGGTCATCGAGCACGGCTTGGCGGGCTCCAGAATCAAAGTGCTGAACTTCTGAGATTCTGTACGAGAACGGAGGGTTTGGATTTAGAGACTGCGGTTCTGACTTTCTGCTGGTGTCTGAAATCAACACAGAAACCACAGAGATCAGAGGGGAACCAGTGAAGTCGGACCTCAAACAGGAACATCTCGAGACATCTCCTGGTTCATCCAGACTCGCCTCGTCGAGTTTGAAACATTAGAGCCGTCATTTGGATTCACGTGCACGTTTAAACCACAAATAATTACAAACAAAAATCAGTGCAGAAATAATAATTTCCCTTCATCAAATGTGAGATATTTCAGCGTTTGGCACACAGGAAAAAGAACTCAAACAGCATTTGATCAAAGGTTTTTGCATCGCCAACAAATTATATAAATAAAACACTATAAAATTATCAATGTATAGAAAAATGGTTTTACATTTACATAAATACAGCTAAGAGCAGAAATAATAAACAAGTTCTGACTAAATCAAAACGTGAAGGTTTGTTTAGTCAAATACATGGGAACTGCTAGCGCGCCAATTTACCGGTAGGTGTGGCTAACCTCGAAGTTTATTTTATTTACTCGTGTTCTTTATCTCATCTAATGAAGAAAAGATAACTTTAAAATAATTTACAGTTCTTCTGTTCTGGTACAAAATTAAATCAAAGAGCAGAGGTTCATAATGGAGAAAAGAAACGCTAGCTAATGCTAGCGAACAGCTAAAGAATAACATTCAGCTGTCATTCTGTAGAACGTAACGAGGCAGCAAAACGTTAGCCCGCAAAGCCGTAAAAAAAGGAGCAAAACTTCGGCAAACTTTAGCTGGTTTAGCACGCGTTAGTGGACGCCGTTTCAATTGTTGACTCTTAGGATTTGCCAATGCTAAACGTTAATTTTAAACAAGTAAAATTACATTTTAGTTCACAAACATATGTAGAAAGTTCAGTTTATGATGGTAAAATAAACTGTGCTAATGGCTAGCTAATACAAGCTAATCCCTCTTTAAACTTGGTATTTTACAATATTTTCCATGTTTATATTTATTAAATTATAATTTATTGATAGACTGGTTCTCTGTTGTGACATAATGGCTAACTCGCAGCTAAAATCTGTTAGCAAAATCCTGCAAAAGCTAGCCGTTACATCTGAAGCTAGTCATAGCTAAGGCTAATTTTATTTAATTTTACTGAGTAAATCTATAGAATAAAACAGTCAGTTTAGACAACAGGGCAAACATTTTAGTTCTTTGGTTTCGTCTTTTTATATAAAGAGGCAGCAGAAAAAAGGAGCTAAACTGAGGCTAACATTAACTAGCTTAGCAGATCTTAGCGGGCGCCATTTCATATTTTCATTTTGTTTTAATTTGGTGACATTACAGTACCAGAATATTTAAATAACAGATTCTTGCATAAATTTAATGGGTGGGACTGTAAAAAAAACAAAACTTTTGTGATATTTTGTGATTCTTTTCAGTCGAAGATGACGTAGAGTAGAAATTTGGCAGAAAAACTTCATTTTTCTTGTCACTGCTGGTGCCTTTACTGCTCCTCAACCCAAAACAACACTTCTTTAATAGTCTGGGTAACACTCTGCTGAAAGAAAAATGTTTTTGCGTGAGGTCCAGAGTTGCCTGAATCCTTTGGAGCATTTTCACTTCACCTGGAGTTCATTTCAGACACCGCTGAACGTCTGACAGAACTCCTGGACCTTTAAAACTATTTACACCCACAAGAAGAACCGATAAAGTGCAGGGAACGTGGATCTCTCTTTAAAACCGCGGTACCGTGTAGGGTTCATTAAATCTGAATCTGTCTCGCACAAGACGACGAGGTGAGGGGACGAGGACGGACGTGAAGACGCTGTGGGAGTTCGGTGGTGAGCTGGAAGCAAACGGGACAGAGCTGGAACGCACTGGAAGCCAAAATGGTGTTCTATGAACCGTAACGTGAGCTCATGACAAACTGAGCCGTTTCCTACAGCCTGAGTTTATATTTCGACACAGATTATATAATCTACTACACTACAGTGTTATACTTTAGTCATATACCTGATTTTATCATTTATTTGATATACTTCTGGAGGGCTAACATGTCTTTAATCAAACAAAACATCCGGAACAGAAGGAAAAAAACTAAACCTAAACAAACGCGATTGGTTGAATTAACTGGAAAAGCTGCTGCTTCCAGTGCGTTTCTGCAGCGGAGGACGTTTCTCACCGAGCTGCGGCTGCTGAAGACTCAGAACTGCAACAAAACAGGCGAAATTTAGCTGCAGTCCCGCTGAAACAACACAATGTTGTTCAACTAGTCTCATACAGTCGCAGCAGAGAGACACCGGCCTGACTGATCTGCCTAAACACAACAGATGAGGAGTCTGAAGAAGTTGAGGCATGATGTAAAATTAAAACCGAACACAAGGATTTATAAATACCAAACCCATATTTTATTCATATTGGAACATAGTATCACATTTAAACCAAGGAACATGACCATTTTAAGTATAAAATCAGTTTATTTTTAATGGGATGTCAGCAACACGTTTGTTTAAAGTTGTTCCAGGAGCATCAAAATGCTGCAACAATCAGAGGTCTGGATCAGAACCACCCGGAGGAACATTTAGTAACTAATGAGATCAATTATAAACAGCTCAGTCAGAGGAACGGGCATGAAAAGAGACTTATAGAAATAAATATGGGCAGAGGTTTGGTAGTCTGTACTTGAATCTCCATCACCTCCAGTTTATAATCTCACCAGCAGATTGGAAGAATCTGTAGAAACCTCTGAGCTCAGGTTTTAGGACATCTGCTCCCAGCCAGCAAAAGATCCAGGACTCTAGAACAGCTCGAATCCTCCATCAGACCAGAATGGGACAACAGTTCCTGCAGAACCTCCAACATCTGGTGGTCTCAGGTTTACAGACTGCTGTCCGAAGCAGAGATGCTTCAGAGGAAACATGAACCTGGAGCATCTTTAAACAGAAATGTTGCTGCAATAAAGTTCAAAACTTCCTGATTTTTTTTTTTTTCAACAAAATGGTCACATTTCTGAGTTTAAACATTTGTTACATCGTTTATGTCCCACTGTAAATAAAATATGAGGTTTGTAAATCCTTACTTTCTGTTCTTAGTTACATTTTATCCAACTTGTCCAGAACCCGGGTTGTAGAACAGGAAACTGAGCGCAGTCCAAACATAAACCAGCAGAATGAAACCTTTTTTTTTTGTTTTTAAATCGCCACAACCTTTAGTTTATTTTCTAAATTTTCCGAGAACGGTAATTCTGAAAAGGTTCGAGCTAAATGTCAACAAGAGATGGAGCCACAAATCGACTGGCCTCGTTAACCAGGAGGAGCAGCTGCGTGGCCCCGCCCGTCGGGTTCTCACCTGTCCTTCAGGTAAGTGCTGGTCTCTGGTTTAACACCTGATCCCCCTCAGCGGGACAACCCAGTCCTCTAACAGTCCAGTTTCTACAAAAGGTGAAGCAGACCTCAGCTGCAGCGCCTGACGTGCTCCAGCACATACTCTGGGAAGTGCAGGCTGCACACCTGCAGACCGTCCAGTTTGCAAGGCATTCTGGGATACTCGTCCTCCTTCCACTTGTTGTCGTCGGGGTCAAAGGTCAGGATGGAGTCGCTGTAGTGGCCGTTGTAACACAGGCCGCCCAGCACCATGATCTGCCTGTCC